AATAGCCTTCTGTATACCACGTGGGTCAGTGGTAGAATTCTTGTCTCCCATTCGGGAGACCTAGGTTCGATTCCTGGCCAATGCACCTCATATGCAGCCATCACCACCCATCTCTCAATGGGGGTTTGCATGTTGCTATGATGCTGAACAAGTTTCAGCGGTGCTTTCAGACTAAGGCAGATGAGGAAGAAAGGCCTGGTGATCTGCTTCTGAAAATCAGTCAGTGAAAACCCTATGGATCCTGTTGTGCATGGGGACCCACCCAAAGGCAGCTAACAACAACAACGTACTCATGTCTGCTCATTAATCTCCCAGCTCTGACCTCACCCGTAAGCTCCACACATGTAGGTCCACCCACCCACCTGCGACAGGCTTGGCAGTGTCCAATGGGTGGTACACAAGTCCAACATCAAGCTCCCGCTTGTTCCCAGCCTTGCATCTCTTCAGTGTCCACCTCCCTGGTAAAAGCAACTTTAGGCCACAGGCTTTGGGTCTTTCTTGGTTCCTGGCTGAGCCACCCTCCTATCTTGCCTGGCTCCACCCCAGTTGGGCTCTACCCTTATCCCCACACAGCAGCCAGAGGAAGCCTGTGAAAACACCCCCAGGGTGCTTAGTGTTCCGCTCCAATTCCTGTCCTTCAGGGCAAAAGCCGAAGTCCTTATGGGTCTACAAGGCCCCATGGGATTGGCCCCACTGGCATCCTCAGCCTCCTCCCCCTAACCACATTCCTCCTTTGCCTGTCATTCACAGGCCTAGCACCATCTGCCTCAGGGACTTGGCATTTACTCTTCAGGCCTCATTTGGTGCTCTTTTCTGATGTCACCTCCTCCGAGAAGGCTTCCCTAACCACTTCCTATCCCACTTGCACCCTTGCCTGCTGTTGTGCTTCCTGCCTCCCACGGAGGCAGGGACGTGTGTATCTGTTCCCTGGTGACCCCCCTGAGCCCCTAGTTCCCAACCAGCACAAGCACCATACATGTCTGCATAAAAGAATAAATGAATGCGGTGAGAGGCTGGGTCTTAAGGGACAGATGGACAGCTGATCAGAGCTGCCGGAGTGCAGCAGAGATAGAGGCTGGAGAAGGGCCAGTCATATGGCCGTGTGAGGCACCCGGCCCACCCCTGAGAGCCACGGGGGCTTTAGGGTGTTGGAGGGTTGTGGTCAGAGCCATGGTCGAGGACTTTGTGAGACTTGCTCGCACAACCCTGTGCCCCGTCCCCACCCCCTCCCACCTCCTCAGGCCAGCTCTGGGGTCTCAGCAGGTGGTCCACAACATGAGCTCCGAGTTCTTCGCTGCCCAGCTTCGAGCACGGATCTCAGACGACACCACGCACCCCATCTCTTACTACGAGCCTGAGTTCTATACGCCTGATGACGGGGGCACAGCGCACCTGTCTGTGGTCTCTGAGGATGGCAGCGCCGTGTCCGCCACCAGCACCATCAACCTCTAGTAGGGGCTGCCAGCTGCCTGGGAGGAGGGTGGGTGGGAGAAGTGGGGAGAAGCGGAGGGGGCAGAGGCTGGCTGCTGTCTTCCTACCATCCCAGAGGTGGGTGTGGGCGGGGCCAGCGTGGACGCAACTGGCAGGAACGTGGGACCCCAGTGCGGTGGGGGTGGGGGCAGGGGGCGACGGGTTGGTGAGGGCCTGCGTGGCGTGGCCCGTGGTGGGGGCGGCGGTGAGCAGCAATCTAACGCTGCTACTCTGCAGCTTCGGCTCCAAGGTCCGCTCTATGGCCAGTGGGATCCTGTTCAATGACGAGATGGATGACTTCAGCTCACCTAGCATCACCAACCAGTATGGGGTGCCCCCCTCACCTGCCAACTTCATCCAGCCAGGTATGGGAAAGGGGCTTGGGCTGGGTGGGGCTGCATCCCAGGCAGCCCGGCTAACCCTGTCCTCACCCCTCCTGCTGGCCGCAGGGAAGCAGCCCCTGTCCTCCATGTGCCCGTCGATCATCGTGGGCCGTGATGGCCAGGTCCGCATGGTAGTGGGTGCCTCTGGTGGCACGCAGATCACCACAGCCACCGCGCTGGTAAGTGCCACCCCCCACCCCCTCCCACTTCCACCCCGGCCACGCTGACCCCTTTCCCCCACTCCCCAGGCTATCATCCACAGCCTGTGGTTTGGCTACGATGTGAAGCAGGCAGTGGAAGAGCCCCGGCTGCACAATCAGCTCCTACCCAATACTACAACACTGGAGAGACACATGGACCAGGTGGGTGGTGGGCGGGAAATGGAGTCACCCAGGCTGGCATTGTGAGCCTTTGGGCAGTGAGGGCCAGCTCTCCTGCTCCAACGGGATCCACAGATACAGCTGCCCCAACTCGCTGTCTTGGCCACGCAGCCAGAAGTGGCCCAGAAGGCGTGGCTAGGATGCTGTGGGCCCCGCTGAGACCCCCTCTCCCCTCACCAGGCAGTGACTGCAGCCCTGGAGAGCCGGCACCACTACACTGAGGTCACATCCACCTTCATCGCTGTGGTGCAGGCAGTTGTCCGCACGGCCAGTGGCTGGGCGGCTGCCTCAGACTCACGGAAAGGCGGGGAGCCTGCTGGCTACTGAGTGTGCAGGGCGACCAGGCTGACCCAGGGACGAGATGCCTGCTAGGGCCAGGAGCGGGACTTTGGGGGCCTGCTTTCCCCGGGAATGGCCGAGCAGTGCAATAAATGGGGCTGCAGTGCCAGGCTCTGGGCAGCCTCGTGGCCTAGCCTCAGCATCCTTGTGTGTGAATGGAGCGGTCTGCTAGGGAGGGGTGAGAGGTGGGGTCGTGGTTGCTGGAGCAGCAGGCAGAGTGAGGCTCACCCTAAGTCCTGGGCCTGGTAGTACCACTTCTTCGTGTGGGCCATGAGAAGGCGCCCCACTCTGGCTAGGAAAGGTGGGGGGTTGTTTACCTGGGCAGGTTTTAGGAACTGGGTCCAGCCTTCTCAGCCCTGTTGGCCAGCAAGGGAGGCATGGTGCCCAGCTCATGCTGCGAGAATGTGGGGAGGGGAGGTGAAGCTGAGGTCTAGGGGGGCGGGGGAAGAAGCTTCTCAGGGGATTGGGCAAGAGACTGGAGCAAAACATGCTGGCTGGAGCCCAGCCTGGGGCTTTCCCAGCACAAACCCGAGTGCACCCAAGCTGGAGTCAGCTCCAGAAGGAGACCTGGTTCCCAGGGATCAGCGGGCTGGGAGCAGAGCCCAGGTCCCCAGGGGTCAGGGGGCTGGCTGGGGACTCGGCCAGAAAGGGCCAGTTTGGAAGGAGACCCAGTGGACTGCTTCTCCAGTCCCTCCCAGCAGGGGTGGATTACCCAATAAGCAAGGTAAGTCTGGGCTTACTTGTGCTTATTTCCTAATCTGTGGTGAACAATCTCACGTGGGTTTCAGCCCGAGTGTGATGCCTATTCCTCTACCTGGGTCATTGCTCAGGCAGCCTCTGGCCCTGGCCTCCAGGCCCTGTCCCCCGCATCCCTGGACTTGGGGCTCTAGGGTGGGTGGGTGTGCTGGCCACGGCCAGAGAGGCACTTTGGCTCCTGATTGAATGATGTCACTGAGATGAGAGGGTCGAGTGGGGACAAGAGAGGAGCCTGTATCCCCTGCCCCAGGCACCTTGGGACCAGACTCCAGGAAGACCCACCCATCACAGCCTGTAGGGCCCAGGCTGGCCAGGGCTCTGGACCTGGAAGCATGTCCACTGGGCCTCGGGTTCTCTGCTTCACCAGGTCACAGCCCCACGTCTGAGTGCTGAGGGCTCAAGTGGGGAGGAAGTGGGGAGGCCATGGAGGGATGTGGGTGGGTGCCCGGCACAGTCAAAGGGGCACCTAGTGGTCCTGACTCCCCGGCTGCCTCCCAGGTGGGCACGCTGAGTGAGGCTGGGGAAGGCAGGGCCGGGCTGGTGTCCCCAGGGGAGAAGGCACTGCATGGGCAGGAATATCCTGAAGCATGGATGGATAGAGTGTCTGGGAGGACAGAGATGCAGGCAGGGGTGGGGGCCCAGGACAGCAAGCTCCAGTACAGATGGTCTGGGGGTCACTGGTGCCCAGGGTGGAGTGCACGCACTGTCTCTACCCCACCCAGGTGTATCACGGTCCCAGCTGTCTGGTGTTCTTTTGTCTGCCTGCTCATTGTGCAGACTGGGAAGCTGGGGACTCCCAGCCCCCAGGCCAGGCTGTGGCTGAGCTGGGACTTGAACTGGGTCCTGAGTGGCATGGCCTTGGGCCCCCTTCTGCTGCTTCCTGGCCCCTGCAGCCCCACCTCTGTACCCCAGACCCCTGTCACCCTCTTGCTCTGCCCAGAGGCATTGTCTGACAAGACAGGCGCCTGCCCTCTCTTGGTCTGGTCCAGGGGATCCCCGTTCGAGCCCTAAGCCCTGCTTCCCATCTTCTATGGGAACTGGAAATGACTGTGAGAAGCCCTCAGCATTTGGGGTCAGCCTGGGCACCATGGGCAGCAGCAGCGTTGGCACCACAAGGCTGGCTCCGGACAGCCAGGCTGGCTGCTTGCTCAGCAGTGAGAGAGTTAATGGCGTGAGCGCTGCTCCTTTCTGGGAGGAAAACTCCCCACAGACGCCCAGCTGCTGCCCCCCTCCGCCCCCCACCCCCCTGCCAGGGCCAGCAAGGCTTTGAAAACTGGAAGTTTGGGTGTGTGGCCAGTGATTCCTCTCGTGGCCAGCTCGAGCGAGTGCTGGGAGGGGGCAGCAGCCCTGCCACCGCCACCACTGTCTGTCCATTGACCTGTCCCATCTGTCTGCCTGGCTGTCCGCTGCTCATCTATAAACCTGTCTGTCCATCCACTGGAAGCCTGTCTTTGTTCAGTTGTCTATCTGTCCAGCCTTCTTGTACTATCCCATCTGTCCAGCTGTCTGGCTTTCTGTTGAGCCATCTGCTTGTCTGTCTCTGCCCACCATCTATTTGTCCATCCGTCTAATAATCTGTGAGTTCACGTGTGCCTCTTCTGGTCCATCTCTCCATTAGTCTGTCCCGTGGCCTGTCAACCCATTTGCCTCCCTTCCCCCAGGCTGTGGAGCCATGGCTCGGGGCCATGGGGCCACAGTCAGCCTGGTGCTGCTGGGGCTTGGGCTGGCCCTGGCCATCATCGTGCCCGCCGTGGTCCTCTCCCGCCACCACACCCTCTGCGGTCCTCACGCCTTTGCCCACGCGGCTGTAGCTGCCGACTCCAAGGTCTGCTCGGACATTGGACGGTGAGTAAGGAGGGTGGGAGCTGTGTGGCCCTGGGCAGTGGTAAGAGCCTGGTGAGGTCTGTGTGTCGGCATGCATGGGCCAATGGGTTTGCTCCAGCACCCAGCTGCTGGCTGCTGGGATGTAGCTCGGGTCTATCTTCACACTAGTGGGAAACGGGGACTCAGACAGGGTACTGGGGGCAGTGCCACCTGTCTGGCCCAGCCTGACCCCCATGGTGGATGCTAGGAGTGCCAGTTCTCTGAGGCTGGCATCCTCTCCTGGGAGTGTGGCCGAGGGGGTCCAGGGTACAACATGTGAGTACTAACCTGCCTGGGGTGCACACGATGTTGCTCAGGCCAGTCCCTGGGGCTGGAGAGGACCCTCATTCCACCCTGGCCTGTGTCTCTGAGTCACTCAGACCTAGAAAACCGGCCTCTGTGGCGCCACATCCTCCAAGTTCCCAGATCCTGGCGCTGGCGCTGGGCCCTTGGCCAGCAGCAGGCGGAGCAACTCTGTGATGTTTGAGGGGACTGCAGCTGGCGTTTCTCACCCCTCTTCCAGGAAGCCCAGCCCTAGGGAGGCCTTGCTGCCTCTCCCCTGCCCCCCACCACTGTAGCCGAGTCTGCTTCCTGGAATATTTGCCTCGAAGGTCACTGTAGGAATCCAAAGTGCTTTGTCACTGAGAGGAACAGTGCCTAAGTAGGGGGACTGTGGCCAGGGCTCTGTGCCCTGCTCCTGACATCCCCACCCTGCAGGCTTTCTCCTTCATTTGTGCATTTGTTCGTTCATTCCTTCCCATTTTCATCTGTCCATCAGTCCCTGCCCCAGCTGCTCATGCCAGCATCTGGGCCCCTACCCTCCCTTGCCTGGCTCTCTGGGCCTTCCCAGGGCCTCCTGTCCTGTCCCCTCCCCTTGACAGTCACTGAGGTGGCACTGGGGGGGCTTGCTTTTTAGTGGGAGGCCCAGAGACAGACATAAAACCAGCGAGCCCAGGGGGAGCGGAGGGAGCCCCTACTCCAGGAGAGCCCCTTCCCTGCTCTGGAGGACTGTTGGGCAAAGATGTGGAGCCCATGTGAGGCCAGGGGTCTCCCCCAACTACTCTCTCTCTGTGAAGAGAGAAGAGGGCAGATGTGGCTTCCCCCCAGTGTTTTCTTGTCAAACAACATTCTCTGCTTCCTGTTCTTGTTTGAAGAAGCTAGGAGTGGGAGGGAGCCTGGGGCTGGCCCCAGCTGCTGATGTGGAACAGGGGGTCACACAACCCCTGCCTCAGGAAGGCGGAAGGGGCTGGTGCAGCATCCTCACCGCCAAGTCCCTCCTGCGGAGTCTCTGCACTCCCAGTGGCTGCTCTGCAACAGGGTCTTCTGGGGGCAGCCCAGCCTCCTTACCCATTGCCCTCCCACACCCTATCTCCTTCCACCCCATCAGCACCGGGGTGTCTGCTGTAGCTGGGCCCTGGGTGAGAATTCCTGCTCACCATGCCCAGTAGATGTACAACAGGCTCATGGTGGCAGGTCCCTTCCCTCCAGTCTGTCACCCCAGTGTGATGCTTCTGTGCAAACTAGGTTTGGGTGCAAACTAGGTGTTCTGAGGCTCCGAGTGAGGGCCTGACTGTGAAGGAGACAGCATGAGCTTTGGTGCGGGGGCTTTGTGCCATCTGCCTGCTGTGGCCTCTCAGAGATGCCGCCCTCCTCCCATCCTCCATGGAGTCCTTGTGCCACTTGGCTCATGAAGAAGTTAGGGCCTTCACAGAGGGGCTGCCTGGTGTCACCAAGTGGGGGATAAGCTGGGGGTGGCATTCAAGCCTGCAGACTCCCAGACCATCATTCCCACCCCTGCTCCCCAGCTGCAGCCCCTGTAGGGGTGGGAACTCTCCAGGGCTGAGGGAGGGGGTGAGGTCTTTCCAGAGCCCCCCACCAGCTGCCCTGGACAGAACTGCCTGCCCAGGCCCCAGGCTTGGCCCATAAAGGCCAACTATGTGTGGTGGAGGAGACTAGTGGAGGGGTCACCCTCTAGGGGACTGGGCTCTGGGCTGGCATGGGAGCGACAGCTGGGCCCTGAGAGTTAGGTCTCATCAGCTGCTCCAGGCCCCCCCAGGACACAGTCAGAGTGGGGGTGGGGACAGGGACTCTGGACAAGTGGCTGTGCCACCTTAGCCTCAGTTTCCTCATCTGTGAAATGGGCTCATGTGGGCATTTCCCTCACGGGGTGGCTGTGAGCATGAAGGGCTCCCTCATCACAGCAGCCACTCAGAAGCATTACCTTCATCTTAGCTTGGTCTGGGCGTGGGGTCAGCCTCTCAGGACCTAGGGCTAGTGTCCAGGGTCAGAGTGAATGCTCTGACCTCACTCTGGGGAATGCTCAGAGGGGATAGGGTGTGGCCCCAGTCCCCTTCCCCCAGGGCCGTGGCTCTTGGTCCCACCCCTTTTTTCCCCTCCTAGCCCCACCTGGGTCTGTGACCCTGTGCTCCCACGCCAGCTTGCCAGGAAATACCTGAGTTTCCTCCCCTCTGGAGCTCAGGCCAAAACAGCCTGTGCACTGGGATTGTGCGCAAGTGTGTGCACGTGTGAGCACACGTGCGTGAGAGTGGTAGTGACAGCAGCCCCATGGGGAGAGGCACATTAGACAGGTGTGATTATTCTGCATGGCATCTTTGCACAGCAGAGGAAACCCAGGCTCAGGGAGGGAGAGCCACTTGCCTGGCGTCATGCAGCTGGGGAGCAAGAACTCTGCAGACATTGATGGGTCTGTGGCACATGTAAGTGTGTGTTTGGTTTGCATAACACTTTTGTCCTAATCGACTATGAATGGAGCCACCTACTATGTACCACTGTTCTAGGGACACAGCCATCACCAAGATGCACAAAAATTCTGACTTCTTGTTTGGGAAGACAGACAATAGACAAATACCATACCTAATGTTTGGGGCTGAGAACTGATCATTGGCCATCTGGATGTCCTCTCTGTGAGTTTCTATTCAAATCTTCTGTATTGAAATCTTTTGTCCATTTTTCTATCAACTTGTATATTAAATGCATTTTCTGCATGATTGAGACAATCAAATAATTTCTCTTTTAAAAAATGCAGTGAATGTTTTACCACCCTGCATTCTGGAACAAACCCCACTTGTTGGTGACTTAATATCACTTGTGTATATCACTAGATGTGATTTGCTAATATTTTGTTTAAGATTTTTATACTTATGCTCATGAATAATATTTCCTTTCTTGTAATATCCTTGTCAGGCTTTGGTATCAAGGTTTTACTGGCCTCATAAAAAGAGCTTTTATTTATTTACTTATTTTTAAGATCGATATACTTCATCCTTTAAATGTTTAGAAGAGTTTACTGGTTAAGCCTTCTGAGCCTGAGTTATGTGTGTGTGAAGGCTTTTAAATGATGGATTCTATCTCTTTAATTGATATAAATTGATCAGGTTTCAATCAGGAAAACAATACCATTTATAAAAGTTCCTAAAAAAATAAAATACTTAGGAATACATCTAACCAGGGAGGTAAAAGACCTGTACAAAGAAAACTACAAAACACTATTGCAAGAAACCAAAAGAGACCTACATAAATGGAAAAACATACCATGCTCATGGATAGGTAGACTCAACATTGTGAAAATGTCAATTCTCCCCAAAGCAATATACAATTACAATGCAATCCTGATCCAAATACCAGCAGCATTCTTTAACTGGATGGAAAAATGAATCATTAACTTTAAATGGAAAGGAAAGAGGGCCCAGATAAGTAAAGCACTATTGAAGAAGAGAACGAAGTAGGAGACCTTGCACTACCCGACCTCAGAAACTACTATACAGCTATGGTAGTCAAAACAGCCTGGTACTGGTACAATGACAGACACATTGACCAATGGAACAGAATCAAGAACCCAGATATAAATCCATCCACTTACAGTCACCTGATCTTTGACAAAGGCCCAAAGCCCATTAAATGGGGAAAAGACAATCTTTTTAACAAATGGTGCTGGCAAAACTGGATGTCCATTGTAAAAAAATGAAACAGGACCCATACTTTATATCATACACAAAAATTAACTCAAAATGGGTTAAAGACCTAAATATAAAACCAAAAACTAAAAATAATGGAAGAAAAAATAGGGTCAATGGTAGTGGCCCTAATATATGGCATAAATAGGATAAAACTCATAACAATACACAAACACCAGAAGATAAGCTAGATAACTAAGATCTTGTAAAAATTAAACACCTATGCTCATCAAAGGACTTCTTCAAAAAAGTAAAAAGAGAATCTACAGACTGGGAAAAAAATTTTGACTGTGACATACCCAACAAAGGTCTAATCTCTAAAATCTATAGGAAAATCCAAGACCTCTACAACAAAAAGACAAATAATCCAGTTAAGAAATGGGCAAAGGAAATGAACAGACACTTCACCAAATAAGACATTTGGATGGCTAACAGACACATGAGGAAATGCTCATGATCACTAGCCATTAGAGAAATGCAAATCAAAACCACAATGAGATACCATCTCACCCCGACACTACTGGCATGAATCAGAGAAAACAGAAAATAACAAATGTTGGAGAGGCTGCGGGGAGATGGGAACTCTTATGCACTGCTGGTGAGAATGCAAAATGGTACAACCATTTTGGCAAACGATATGGCGCTTCCTTAAAAAGCTAGAAATAGAAATACCATATGATCCAGCTATCCCACTCCTAGGAATATATCCTAGAGAAATAAGAGCCATCACATGAATAGACATATGCACACTCATGTTCATTGCAGCATTATTCATAATAGCGAAAAGATGGAAACAACCTAAGTGCCCATCAACAGATAAATAGATAAACTATGGTACATATGCACAGTGGAATACTATGCAACGATGAAGAACAATGATGAACCTACAAAACATCTCACAACATGGATGAATCTGGAGGGCATTATGCTGAGTGAAATAAGTCAATCACAAAAGGACAAATACTGTATGAGACCACTATTATAAAAACTCATGAAAAGATTTACACA